AACATTATCTGGATGCTTTGAGATTAAAATAAATATATGGGAGACGCAATATATTGTTCAATGGGAATATCAGTGGATGTAGTCTTTGCAATCCTACACCAAAGGGCAGATAAGAGTAAGGGCAACCAACTCCCATTACCGGTATAATGAAAAAGTAAGGAACTTGTGATCAAATATATCTGAAAATTTACATTCGACCACCTGTTATATGGGAGAGAATCTGGCTCTGAGTGGCATGTTTTTAGTTTGCATGTCTGTTTTGTATTTTGTTAAAGACTGCAAGTTCATTTATTTAATGATCTGTCTTGGTATCTGTTATTTTCTCCTCATTGCAATGATCCATCACATGAACCCCCCAAAATGTCTGATTTCTATATTGTACGATTGTCCATCTTGGCTCCGAACCTGTACCCCACGAACCTCACTTCCTCCCTCCCTCCCCCCTTCCCTTCCTCCCTCCCTCACAAACCATGTTTAAATGATCTTAAAAATGATGTTGATGAGAATCCACTTTGAAATAAAAGACCTATCACTGAAATTGTGATATTGATTTTTAAGTGAGCTCACATGGCTTGACTCTTGATAGATCCTTTTGGGGGCGTGTGAAGGAGTCTATCTTCTGTGAAAAGTTATAGCCACTAACATAGATGGTGCATGGTTGGTCATTTTTACACTTCATAACATTAGATTTATAATCTAGATTTGATTAATCAGTTAATACTAATCTCTACGAAACTGTCGGCAAACATAGTCAAACGCCAGTACAGACTTTGTAAGGTTGTGGAAGAAAAAGTAAAGAAAAGATTCTTCATTTCTAGCATCTGAATAAAATAATTTCCACTACTTTTTATTAATTTAAATTTTTTTCTGTGTTTTTTATTTTAGCTTAACAACTATCACCCTACGTTGCCGCTGCTAACGGGGAATCCGAGCAACATGTCTCCAGCACCAGAACCAAGATATCCCGGAACAAAGAGATATCCCGGCTGTTTTGATCATCATCTTCCTAATATTCACAGGGATTAATAATTAGACTTCTATTTTATTTAATTTAAATGTATAATCCAATTGTTTTGGATTGTCTGTCCCCCTGTGGTCGGCGGTGGTGTTGTCAGAGCTGAAGAATCCGTTGGAATATGTCTGCCTGTGTACTATCATATACGTACGCGATCTACTTTGCTGTTTCATCTGAGGGAGGGTTACAGATGTTAGCATTTGTTTTTTTCAGTCAAACTCTACCGCTGTGTATCCCTTGCCCTGTCGTATGTTACCCATGTGTAACGGTGCATGAATTTTAAAGTTGTGTGCAAAGTCTAGACAAATTTAAACAGGGTCTGATTTTTTGTTTGTTCCCAAAGGAACAAAAAAATAGAACAAGAATGGTTTGGTTTTTCGAGACTTTCCAGAAACGTGTTTGTTTAATCACGAATCAAATTGATAGTCTTTACTAGTGAGCGGTTTATTGGAAAGTTTAGATCACATCCCCCCCAAAAATATGAAAATTTTAAGAAAATGACGAGTTAGAAACAAAGATGAGAGCCAAGTAGAAAGCTATACAGAATAAAATGTAAGTGAATTACATTTTTCGGCGGGAATTTTGATTATTATACTTATAAATAACTGTATCTTTAAAAAAAAATGATATTGAAAACGAGAGACACAAACTTTTCAAAAATGGCTTCCTTTAATATTATTAATCTGACAATGAAAATGAACAGTTGAGAAAAGAACTGTTGAACAATCAGACCTAAGGGTCAAAGGCTAAACACAATCACAGATGTATGTTTTGTCTTATAAAGTCCTATTTGTTAATAATTATATGCATTGTATTTTTATTTTTTTTGCATGCTTTAATAATTTTGCTGTAGTTCAACATTTCAACCTGAAGAAAGAAACCCTGGAATTTTGAAATCTCTTGTGCTGTCCCATTCCCAAACCTGTGTCCCTGCTGGCTCTTAAATACCTACCCCCTAAATCTTTTCAGAGATCTCAACTTTCATTCATTCACTTTTTACCACAAAATAGTTGAATCTCTGCCTTTTACCTCCTTGTCTATTCGAAATATTGTCAAATTTTTTCTTGAACTTTGACTTTTGAACTTTGAATTATATAAGAAGAAAAAGCAAACTCCATTTTCGCAGAGTTACATTGCCAGTCTGAACTTATAATGTGAAGATAAAAAGCATTGTGATTATTTTTTTTTTTGAAGATCAAGTACATTACATTTGCAAGGCCATACATTATTTACACATACATTGTCATTGCTTGGCAATTTGTTTTTTCGTTGAAACCTTTTAATGCTTGTTTACCTTAGCCACCATTGTTGTTGTGAAACAATTCAATGTCAACAATGTGTACATTCTCGAGGTTTTCATTGGCGAACACCAACAAGATTTTCAATGCAAGATTGTTAGACTGGCAGTGTTTTTCATTTATGAATTTCAAGGTTAATTCTTCGGGAGATATTTGTCCATGTAGTTCAAATTTATTCTTAGAGTAAGCATGATAAGATATTATAGTCGTCGTGGTAACCTTATACGAGTTGACTCAAATTAGGCAGGTACATTCACTGTAACTCCATTGAAACCCATTCACCTTGACTTTAATCTTCAGTCTTGTTGAGGATTGGAAGTGGGGGGTCTTTTGTTTGTTTGTTTTTTCTTTCATTGTTTTCTCAACTGTAAAAATAAAAAAAACCTGTACTCGTGAAACCCCTCAAGAAAAACAAGACGTTCAATTTCTGTATGTGATCTGTACTGCTGTATTTCCTTCACTATCCTCTCTGTGTTAGTCTATTCGGTGGTGGTGGTGGTGGGAGTTGTGTTCATTCGTATGGTAATAAATTTCCTATTCATGCACGGCCTGATACGGGTCCACTCAGAATGGTGATTAGATGCTACCTTGTTCTTATAAATAACAAAGCATTTTTTCCCCCCTGTGTGTCTACATACAGTCTTGCTACTTTTTACATTTAACGAAAATTGTGCACTTTCAGAATGACGACGACCTTAACGTTTGTAAGGTTCAATGTATAATGCACTGCATAGTTTTTGTTTGTTCAGTTTATTTGTTGGGATTCACAGAGATGCTTTTTTTTTCTAATTCTTTTCTCCTATTTCCATATTTAAATAATTTAATGTAAAGGATACTTTCTAGTTACACTTGGGGAAAGGATTTTGAGGTGAGGTGGGGTGGGGGGTGTGGGAATGATGTTTTCCTGTTGTCCGCAGATATGAATTGCCATGCATTCATTTCGTACATTGTGGCTGCAGCTCTTCCGAGCTTGTGATAGTTGCAGATATAGTTGTATTGATGCTGGACAATATTAACTGGTAAAGCAATCAGTGTTTAGAATTAACAGACACATCAGTCAAGTTTTATGGCCAAAATCAGATACAGCGCCCTCAACATGCAATTCATTTCTTTAATCTGGGGCAGAAAAAATTCAAGTAATACTTAAAAAGGGGGAAACTCCAGCAGGAGACACGAATTGTAAATGTTACATTGTACAACTGTGCAATGATTAATATTTTTTATTTGTACCTGCTCTTTGTCTATTTAATCAGTGAACAGCATCCGATAAAACAATCTTGAGTAACTATAAACATTGTTTGTTTATTTTGTGTGTGTGTGTGCATGTGTGTTGGTCAGTTCATAAAGGGGCAATATTTCCATATACAATAGTCTTTGGAACTGTGGAAGTGATGACAACGAAAAACTGAAGTTCTATTAAATTACTCTATCTAATCCCAACGATTTTTTTTTCTTGCATACTAGCATATTAGACAGTGTTTATGGTGTAAACAAATAATGTAGTTCCTATCCCTTGAAGAGTGACATTTTGGATATTTTTGACGTAATGCACTACATCTATGTACAGAAAAACTAATTGCACAGCCAACAAATCAAAGAACTGTTCATTTGTTAATTGAGGGGTTAATTGAGGGGTATGAATTCGACGTATTTTTTTTTAACTTGTTAATGGAGATTGCAGTACTTGCATGAGTGACCTCACAAAGTTTAACATTTAGGATACAGTGATTTTGGCTCTAGAGGGCATACTTTAACCAAAGGTAAACAAGTCATTAAAAATGACAGTCCCCGTTAAATTTTTGAAAGTTCTCTTTGAGCTCGTCATATTAAAGCGGAGGGATTGTCGCGAGCGTGTCCTTAAAACTTGAGTTCCAAGTGGCGTATACAACAGATTGTTTATTTACATCAAAACACTTGTTCCGTGTAGTAGTAATATAGCCAAAAATAAAAACGGCCGTTATTCGGCCATCTTTGATCTGATTATGAAACACACTGATATGTATATAAATTGTGGAAGTAGTAAGGCCAAAAAGTCAGATGGCTGTCAATCGGCCATCCTTGACCAGATTTTGAAACAAATTGTCATGGACATGCATCCTAACATGTATAAAGTACATGTATGTGCCAAATTTGAATGAAAACTGACAGAGCACGTCCAAGATACCGCATAAAAAAAACAAGATGCCTACCAGTCGACCATCTTTGATCCAAATGTGAAATAAATCGTCATGGACATGTATCCTAACATGTATAATCTATGTACCAAGTTTGAATGAAAACTGACAAAGCATGTCCAAAATACAACATTTTCAAAAAGCAAGATGGCTGCCAGTCGGCCATTTTGAATCAAATCGCTAAACCACTGCATGTGCATATGTACCACATAAGGTACTAGGCACATGCAAAGAATGAATGAAATCGGTCCACAGGATTCTGAAATATGACTCTGGACAGACTGACGCACAGACACACAAACGGACGGACACACTCAAGAACTCACAGATGATCGGGGACATGTATCCTAACATGTATGATCTATGTACTAAATTTGAATGAAAACTGACAAAGCATGTCCAAAATACATCATTTTCAAAAAACAAGATGGCTGCCAGTCGCCATCTTTGATCCAATTGTGAAATAAATCGTCATGGACATGTATCCTAACATGTATAATCTATGTACCAAGTTTGAATGAAAACTGACAAAGCATGTCCAAAATACAACATTTTCAAAAAAAAAGATGGCTGCCAGTCGGCCATTTTGAATCGAATCGCTAAACCACTGCATGTGCATATGTCCCACATAAAGTACTAGGCACATGCAAAGAATGAACGGAATCGGTCCAAGGGATTCTGGAATATGACTCTGGACGGACGCACGGACGAAGACCGAATTAAAGTTCCTGTTTTCGGACTTCGTCTGAACGGGGACTAAAAAAAAATCAAAAGGGTCATTTTTAGAATAATGGATTAGGTTGGTGTATACATATAACTTCAAAGTAATTGTGCGATAATGCGCTCATATGCAAATTTATGATTAGATGTCTTGCCCCATGCAAAATATTGGACTCTTTGGTAGCATGTCCCATAAATTCCCGGGCAGTGATCATTGCGTGTTTTAGAAAGAAAATTGTCCTTATAAAAGTTTGATTCTTTCGTAATGACACTGCCTATCACGTGAATTCAAGTATTGTCAACCATGCAGCATTACGAATTTTTACAACTGTGGAGGTTGACATGCCAATCAGAATAAGAAAACAAAGAATAAAATATAATCATGTGATGGCCAGGTAGTCTGGCCGCATACACAACGAATGAGCCAACTGATCATGTATATAATGTACAAAGAGATGTATCATACAGCCTTCCTGCGATTTTCTGAGCATTGACGAATGCATTGTTGAATACACTGACGAGAATTGTGGTTCGAGTGTATACGTGTACAGTGGGATCTTCCACGATGCATATTACGGTTGAAAAAATTAATAATTTAGCAAACTTGCTCAACTAACAGCTCCATTCAAAACAACTTCAAAGGCTGGAACAGCTCACTCAAGTTTACTCGCAGTGGAAATGTTTCAACTGTCAACAACTTCAGCCCTGATTGAAGGAGAAAAAAGAATCTCTAAAAGTTACTAAGCATGCTACTATATGTATAACAACCTACATATCATCTGAAAGCTTAGATATATGTAGTGCATATGCCTCATACATAGACCTGGTTAAAAAAAAATCTTGGTTATTTGTACCGGTACTCTTGTTTTAATAGTAACTGTGTTGAAATGTTATAAATCTTGCTCAATTTCAATTCTGATAAAAAATTTTGCAAAGTTTAGCTGCAAGTTTAGCAAAGTCAAAAATGTGAAATTGGATAAACGAGAAAGACATTAAAAAAAATTAAAACAGTTGAAAACTCTTGAAAAGTACATTTCCGACCAAGGTTGAGCAAACTTAGCACCACATTGGGTGAATTTTAAAAAATTCGTGCATGCTAACCAAGATTGCAGGTTTATTTAAAATCAGGTTCAGTAGTTAAGTTACCGTCGGTAAACAAGCTGCGGAAAATTTCCAACTTTTTCCAGTTGAGCAAATTGTCCTAAGAGCTAACTTTTATAACCAAGGGTGATTTGAGCAGAATTGCCAATTTATTCTTCGAATTAAAGATGCAGAGATTAAGCTCCTGTCTGAATTTATTAATTTGTGTTCATGAGTCAGACATCTGTCTGTGCAGAGCAATTTCTCACTAATATATCACCTGATTCAGTTGAAAGTTTGGATCCAAATAAAATACTTATATACAGTAGAGTGTAGGTCATGTTATTTTGTTATTTGATCAAATTGGCAGCTATTTTGTCGATAATCGTAGTTTTCAATTAGTTCAGATCCATTTCCGGGCTTTGTATCAGAACCATAAATAGTAGGTCACGGGTGAGAATCATATTTTTTTTTTTCCGCGATTCAAACAAAAATAGCCAACTGGTGATCATTTGTTGGCGTTTTTAATGGAATCCACGCTAGTATCACTGTACGAATATATTTCACCACATTTTGCCACCACAAGCTGTTCCAGTCATACTGCATTGAAATTCACATACAGATGATGCATGAAGACTTAGTTGGTAGACATGTCATGTGTACCAAATGCATGTGCATTTTTCACTGAACGACTGTTCTGGTGAAAACTACACAGGGACTGTACATTGTTAATGCTGTTGAAATATAATTCATGCACCTCAACTGCAATTGACAATTGACATTCTAAAGTGAGCGAATAGCGCCTTCCAAAGTACCGGTAATGCGACACAGAACCGACATAATTCAGGACTAACGATGTCATCATGCGTTCCACACCAGGACAGCAATCGCTTTGACAAATCTCAGTATTTTATTCATTAACTTTAATATACAAAACTCATAAAAATAATACTGTGGTCAGAAAAAAAGAAGAAACGCCTCCATAATTAAAGTGTTTTAATCGTCCATTTACATCAATTTCAAAAACAATTTGAAAACAAATATATGTGCATGTTTCATTTCAACCGAAATAATGCATTAATAAGCATCGTCGTAACTGAGCATGTGCGAGTCGGTTGTTTTTAGCAGTCAATGCACACTTGAAACAGTTGCTATGCAGCCATCTTGAAACGGTTGCTATGCAGCCATCTTGAAATGCTATGTGCACATTCTCATCTCACAGGCACAGTTAAGACAATCCCGAAGAGCAATATATATATGAAAGTGAAAATCACAAAGTTTTTTCAAAAATAATTTTCAATGTGACTTACAAATCAATGCTGTGCCATTTGCACATGCGAAAGCTGAAACAAATATTGCGATAGATATTGTAGTGATAATGTACAAACTATGATATACAAGCAAACCTGATGTTCTGATTTCCCAAAGTGAGAAATTGAAGACATTAGTATCAGTGCATGCATGCATGGAAGGTGCATCATGGCATTAAGTGGCAACAAATTCTATGCGTTATATATATATATAAACTTTTATTTAGCTGTAATGAAAAAGAATCAGCGATTTCTGTAAGTGTCCTTTTCCACAGCAAAAAAAAGAACTAAGTCGGCATACGGCAGTGTGACTAATACACGTGTAGACAATAATTGCGGACAACTCCCCCAAAAAAGTGATATTAAAAAATAACAAACATGCAAGAATTAAAAAGTTGGCATATATACAAGTACATGTAAGAGGTATTTTTGTGACTTTGTCTGTCTGTCCTGTCGCACAGTGAAAAGATTGTGCAAAAGGTGCAAGAAAAAAAAAGTGGATTATCATCCCAGTAACATGTCACCAAACGATAACTGCAGTAGAATGTGAATAATCATGTGATACAAGTTTTTTGGAGAGATGGTTAAATTCATGAATTTCTGTAGCAGTGATAATTTCTCTGCTGTCCTACAATGCAGAATTATCAGTAACGACGAAATCATCAATCGTGAAGTGACTAAGAGTATTACGCATTATGAAAGATAGAAATATCAATGAATAACAGTAATATGCAAGCTAGTTTATTAATATGCACACAAAACAAAATCAGATTCTGATCACAGTTAGTCACAAGAAGCGCTGCAAATATAACACTTTTGGGTACGTACCCAAAATCAGCGCCATTATTGTATTTGAATACAGATGGTACATGTTGTTATTAATTAATATGTTAGCTGGTTTTCTTTGGTTTACACAGAATGTGCATTCAAATGAGGTGTTGCAGAAATCTGCCGTAACCAATTAAATATGCAAGCCAGCTCATTAATAATACTATGGATCTGCGTAATGGCTTATAGCCTATGAAGAGATGTACATATGTGATGTTACTCGTGATAATTTTCATGCTAAACAAAAAGAAATGGCCCCATATTCCAACGTGTTATGCCAAGACCAGATTTAGAATTGTAATAAGTACCAACAAATTGAATAAAAAAAAAATAATACTCCTGAAAAAGCTACACTAAGAAGCTAAGCAGCTGTACAAAAAACGAAATAAAAAAAGAACACCGTGAAGCGAATGGAGCGCCCTCTGTAGACAGAAAAATAAACACATCCTATCACTAGAGGGCAGCAAACATTCGCAGACAAGAATTCTCGCGCATTATTAGCTACTTAGGCACTTGTGTAAACTAAATAAAGATATCTGAAATAATAAATATCATTTGTGACTGAAAGGGGCGGGGAGGGGTTGAAAATAAATGGACAAATCATTTATTCTGTATAATTATCTATTTTTTTTGCATGTCGCCAAGTTTTACATTGAAGGTCAGTGGTCGTCACAGTTCGCGTATTCTACATTGTATGAGACCCAAATCAAAGACGCGAGAAGAAAACCTTCAACCTTTAAAATCGATCACGATTGTGATGAAACAAATATGAACATATCGCTGTTATTCTATGTTTGTAACATGGATAATTAAGTAATATCTCAGAAAATACCGGTACACACTAACATATTACATAAATTTTTGTTGTCTTAAATTATTTTTTAAATTTTGCACTGAAGATGAAAAATACCTCATTACTGTACGTTAAGAGAAATCTCCTAAAAACAGCGATTTGTACACAATATATTACGTTTTCCAGTATCACCAATTAGAAGCAGACTTTTACTATAAGCTACTCTAGGAGGATAACACTGTAAACCAAAGTTTTGCTTTTTGTATTTTTCCCAAAGAAAGAAAATAATGAAATATATGTTTGAAAAAAAAAAAAATAATAATAATAATAATAATAATAATAATCCAGTCACAAAGGCCACCTTGGTTATGTGATCAAAAAGTGATCCGTGCGCAAACTTCTCGATACTGCTACACTTAACGAGTGTGCGACAGTTCAGTTGGTCCTTAGCCTGCAATAGACACTACCTATATTAACATGTGTAAGGCAGGCTTCATAACACTCCCAAACAAATGCAACCACACAGATAGAAACATTTTCTTGAAAAAACAAAAAAATTGCAGGCACAAAAAAAAAAGAGAAAAAAACACCTCCATTATTGCACTATTCAATGAAAAAAGGCATTTAATATTTTGCATAATATGGAGTCGTCTTAAATTAGGAATATAGATGGAAAGCGAACCACATCGCGATACAAGTAGTGACAAAAGGACCACAGTAACATTAGAAAATAATCTGCTAACCTGGATAACAGTTTGCAATGAACTGCATGATAATATTTCATTTTTTTCAATTATTTATTTGACATGAAAATGAGCAAATTCACTTGTTTATGTTATTTTTATTTGTTTATTAAACACGAAATTCTTCTTGCTCAAAGTTCCATGATATGGCTATTGAAGAGGAGCAGCAATACAAGTGTCTGATACTCCGTGGGGGGAGGGGGGATGATGTCATTGGTTACACACATTTGTAGATACTTTGTAGAACCCCTGCATTCCAAGTAATATCAAAGCCAACTATTGTCCATATATGGCAAAGCAGGGCTGCCGCTGCCACCACCACTGCTGTGGCCACCGCCCACTTCAGTAGGTGTTCTCATGTCCAGCGAGAATGTAGAGATTAGACTGTGCCGTGGGATCGTCTGTGGGCCGACTCTCCAATATGATAACTTTGTCCGATCCTAAGAGCTTGAACATTCGTGATTTGTCACAAATTTCTTGCGTCACCTGTAACGTTAGAGAGACACTTAGTGTTATGTTTTGGAGTTGTTTGAAGATCAAAAAAGTTAATACTACTTCACGGACTGAATATAACTACGTACACAGACAAGAAATAGCAAAAATGAATATACATCGAACTGTGATAAAATCGACCAATGACATGGAGATAATGCCGAATGAGATTATCATACGATAGGATACACAGACACGTGACACAGATACAACGCCGTACACGATAGTTCCCGATCTGTTACCTCATTGGCTTTAAAGTTCCTCCCCTGCATTCCATGTTTATGAAAGGCGAGTACGCTGTCTTGTAACACAACCACAGATTCTACAGCAAAATCAAAGTGTAATTCCGCTGCCTGTTTCCGACTCGGCTTCAGCCTTCCTGACAAATTGACCACTTTTACTTCTCCTAGGAGGGAAAAGAACAAAATTGATGGAATTCAATATATTAGCTGGTTTGTTTAGTGATTAAATAATATGTATTAACAGAGCAAAGGACGTGAAAATATGCAAAACAGTCAAACAAATAGTCAAACAGTATTACCGATAATTTAAAATAATGAAAAGTAAACAAGCAGCAACCATGTGACTTACTGTCATAGCAGACAAGAACTGTGTCTCTTTCTAGCTGCGCCACGCAAACTGCTTGCAGAAGTCGGTCTGGTGATGGATGTGATGCAAACCAATTCGAAGTTGAATTCAAATTTATTATATCTAATTGTAAATTATTTCTTTCCACCCTGTAGGAAACAAAAAAACAAACAAACAAACAATGCATCAAGGATTATGGGTAAAAAGTTTTCAGTGATGATAAAAATGCTATTTAAAACATGCTGATTGTTGTTGTCCATATGCTTATATTTAATGTAACAAGAAATACTGTGCAATGATTAAACATCTTGATTATGCAATGATCAAAACTATGCGAGTTATTTGAAAGTTTAATCACTCTTTATAGAAACTGATCTTTCAAATGACTATATAAGGAATTTCGAGGCACTTACCCTTTCGCCACGCCTGTACATACCAATGGGTAGTCCATTTCAGTATTAATAATTAAAGAAAACAGTTCTAACACTGGTGGCATCATACATTCTATAACCTAGGTGGTATAAAAAATTAATAAATATTCATACTCATATTCGCACACAATTACAACAGAATTGCTCATCTTCTACAGGGAAGTCGTATAAATGGTTAAAATCCGATTACTGACCATAGTTTGTGTTACAATGTTGCAACCTCGAAAACTAGTTCAAAGTCACAAAATCTGGGTCTGGTTTGTACAAACTGAGCGACTTCAAACTGAAAAATGAAGCAAGGTCTAAAAGCACTGAATATATGCATTCATACAATGTAAGCTAATGTCATGCTCTTATTTCATTTTTATTTTTTGACAAAATATGGGAGAAAAATGCTATTTGACAAATTAGAAGTATGTAAAGAAGTTGTAATTGACACAGAATGAGTGGTCAGTCTCAGTAGCACTAACAGGAAATGGTGCTAGATCTAGTGCAGAAATAGCACTCATTCTAGTGGAAAAATGCACACAATGTAAGGGGCATTGTCATTGCATAATTATTGCCTGATAAACATCGCATTACAATAAATATATCCGTACAAATGTTGTATTATTTATTCATCGCAAATGTAAAACGATTGAGAGTGTATTTTATTTTTATTGTTATTTACATCCAAGCTACTAAATACTAGCAACAAGATCGCAATTTACAATCTGGTATATAACTTATTTCCTTATTAGGTGCTAAATTTAGCAGTGTGACATTCACAACCAAAGGTCAGCAGTGAAGTCTGCAAATAAGGAAGATGAATATTTTACCTTTATAAGCATAAACTTGTTTAATGGTTTATACCATTGTAGTAGCACCACTCCATGCGGCAGCGCCCCACATAAATACTTGTGACCATTGTACGGATTTCGTGCTGCGCAAAAGATTGAAACAAACATGAGGAACTGTGTGTGCATGCGTTACAGAGAAAACATGGTCAATGTCTGCTTGCAGACATGCATAGTCAGGTCTCCCTGAAAGTGAATATAGTATATCATAGCTAATTCAAAATAGAAACCAAGGATAATTCAGTAAAGCACTTTTGTGTGACAAAATAAACACATTTCACAAAATATGACCTACTGTAAAACCATTTATTTTCACTGACATTTAATTTCACTATTTTGTCGTTTGAGCATATTCACTGTGTTTTAATTTTATCTATTCGTCAAAGAAACAATAAGTTATATTGTTATTCTACATGTTCATGTAGATTTAGTTTAGCGGATTTTTACTTATCAACGAAAATAACGAAATTAAAACCCAGTGAATAATTAATGCATTTACAGTATTCCATAACTGAGCTCCATGACGGTATCCAGCCTCACTGCACGCAGTAATAAACACCGCCTTGACTGAAAATGAAACAAAGACTTACCGATACAGCACTTTGAACAGCCTTTCGTTTCCGGCACTTTGACCGAGACGGAAAACTTTCTGGGTATGAATTTATCTGGAATCTTATGAAGATTGTGACTGATTGGAGCTGGGATATGAAATTTCACGTTCTTATCCAACATCATCATAATGTTGTG